CGTATCTGCAATACGCTAAAACGTTAGATCACTTGTCACGTTCAAATCCCATTTTTGTACAAAAATAAATTTTAAATCATTACATATGCTACACGTGGTTCAATCCATATTTTATCAGCTAATTAATCCATTAATGTTTAACAATCTTATAAGCCAACTAAATCAATTTAATTTATAATTTACGTTTTAATTTAATTGATTCATATAATTATTTTTTAAAAAAATTATATTTAATAAGTCTAAATTTTAATTTATAATATTTGTAATTTTTTTTATCTCTAAATCTTTATAATAAATAAAAAATAAGATAATTCCTTCAAAAGAAGGATTAAATTTTTTTTTAATCAGAAATGAAAATTATTTAAAATTGAACATCATTGAATTAATAGAATTGCTTGTATTTACAAAAATAATGGTCAATGATTTTCATGTGATTATAAAAAGTAAAAAGAAAATTAATTTATTATGAAATGTTGGTTGAAAAAAAAATTCACGTTAAATTAAGATTTAATTATTAATCATATTGCATAGCTTAATTTAGTAAAAAAAAAAAATTGACAGTTTAACAATGAATCGAAAGGAATTGTTTATAAAAATATAATAGAATTTTTTTTTTTTTAGAAAAAAATGGATGAACTATTTAAATTGAATTTCACATACTTAATTATTGACAGTACTTCAAAGTTGCCAACGTGAAGCAACTTGTCTTCTTCGTTATTACAGAAAGCTTGATTTCCAAGATTTGGAAATTTATAACATAGCAGACAACTCAAACGCTGAAATTTCTTAATTGCTGAGAAAATTAAATTAATAAACTTTATATGTTTTTGCCATAGTTTTCCAGCACACAAAAAAATTAATAAATTTTAGGTCAGAAGTGTTGAATTGAAGGTTTATATGACTATTTTGTAGACTGCATTTCAGATTCAAATAAGACCACAAAACCTTCCTTTTTTTTTTATTTTTGTTACTAAATTAGCAACATAATTAAAGTGTAGCCCTTAAAAAGGGATAATTTTCTTAATTCAAAAGCTTAATGTTGAAGATTTCAAAAATAAAGATTCAATTTAGGGATTTCAAATTCAATCATGGATCATCTGGAAAGAGTATTTTGGAGTATTTACCAAGGAATGTTTCTGATTTTCCTTTTTGTTCTTTTATTATTTTTTTAAAAAAATTAAATTTAATGCTTCAATTACCATGAAAATTCACAATGTCAAACGAATTAATTCAAAACTTTAAATAAAAGATTAGGGTTTGATTAATGAAATAATATTTTCAAACTAAAGTTTTTAAGTTATAATTTTATTGTCATCTAATTGTAACATGAATTTAATGATATGGGATCAAAATTTTGTGAAAATTCGTATTTAACTTATAAAGTATTATCTTTTTTTATTCGAAAATCTCACGATTTTATCTCATAAAAAATATTTTATAAGTTTGAATTTAGATTTTTTCATATATATCATATCATGTCTATACATTTTTTTTAATAAAAGATTAAGACAGTCAAAGTTTCTTTTATTTGAAAAACTGTAAAATAATTGGTTTGATTCAGTCCTTTGGAAAGAAACTTTGAGCAAACCCACGACTGAGTACTAGTGCTTTAGCCTCATTTTCCAGGTCATATGAACTCGAAAATGTGGAAATAAAATTGAACTCGGTTTCATATCAACTTTTTTGAATTCTCTCTTGACTGGTCTGTCTGGTCTGGTCTGGTCTGGCCTGGCCTCTATGGATTCCTCCACTACAAGCATATAAGAATTGTGTTTTGATGCATATGATATTGTTTGAAAAGTTGGGTTTTCACTTTTCACGTCTAAACACAACTCAGATTTCAGGCTGATCAACACGAGATTTGCCTCAAACTCCCAAACCCAGACCCCAAAATTTTCAGACGAAGTAAACCATTTCTTAATTTCTATTCGAGACTTCAGGAATTAATTGACTACTATACTTTTTCCTGTATCTGTAACCACTGCACTTTGCCTTTTTGCTTGATGCAATGAAATGGGCCTGACAAAGGGAATTTAGCTTCGTGAGGAGATTAAATGCTCAGACTTTTGCCTATAAACTCATACTGAACCATTGAGAGTTTCATTTGGAGATGTGTAATGTGGAAAAGATTAATCAGAGAGGGTAGCTGCTATTTGCCTTTGACATTGTTGTTTAAATCTTGTTAATCTGATGAAAACCCTGAAGAAAAGAAAGGGAAGAGTCAATGAACCCAGTTCAGGTCTGATTTAGTAGTGTCAAGATCATGCAAATATGGACAAGTTTCACTTTTAAAACCTGCAAGGATGGTTCTGTTTCATTTTTTTTTTCCTTCTTTGAACAATGACATGTTTGTAACTTCCAAGCTATTACAGCCATTTAATTTGTAGTAGAACTTACAAATGTCAATTCAATTGCAATCCCAGGACTAGGATATATATCATGTCACCCACTTTCTCTTGTCTTGGTAGGTCAACTGAAGAGATTCTGATCTGTGAAAGTCATGTGCCTAAATTTGACCTTTAATTGGAAGCTACGGTCATGGCTGTAAACTTTCCTCCATTAGAACTTGCAAAAGCACATGGTTCGTGTATGCTTGTGAAATTGTGAGGAAAAACACTCATGTTGGAAAATCAATTCCTAGAAACTACCTACCCTAAAATGTGATTATAAACTGCACTTAAATTTGGGGCACGTTGAATTTGAAGGGAAATGAGATTTTTATGTTAAAGAATAAAGAATCTTAGTACAATTTGCAAACCTTAAATTTGGGGCACGTTGAATTTGAAGGGAAATGAGATTTTTATGTTAAAGAATAAAGAATCTTAGCACAATTTGCAACATTGAAGGGGAAATCGAAATTGCAAAATAGTTTTTTGGCTTATTCTTTATAAATGCTTGCTACTCCACTGTTAACGTCACGTTTACGGTAAATATGATAATTCATAAATTTATATCATTTAAAATATCGATAATTTGTATAATTTTTATAGTGTTTTACACTAAAATTACATATCATAATTTGTGTTGATACGAAAACATAAAAAATATTTTTTTTTGTTTGAACCCATATATGATTCTTACTAAAAGTTTAAACCATGTCACATTTATATTTTTTTTTTTCATATTATTTTCGTATCATATTATCATATCGTGTTTTAAATTATCTTGATTTACCATAAAATAATTAATAATATAAGAGACAAATAGAGGGAGTGGTCTTAAATCTTATAGAAAAATGTCAATATTCCCAGCTAAGGCTTGACATATAGCTGTCTCACAGTCATTGTTGTCTCAAAACACATACAAAATCCTAGGAACGAATCCTAGGTTGTTAATTATTGTTGGCATTATTTGGGGGCCTTCATTTTCCAATCAGTCTCTGCATGTGCCAAAGCTTCATCGCCTTCCGCTGGCTTTCTCTCTCTTTGCTTTCCCTTTCATTCACATTCTTGTACGGGCAGTTGTTCATTCTTACAAACAAAAGCTACATCATTGACAATGTGACCAACACGTTCATCAGCTCTTCGCTTTGCACTTTGCCAACACTTTCTCCATAAACACCAAACGAAACCCAAAAGCTTCCACTTCAAGAATATCATTAACTACGTCAAGCTCCCCCAGTTATCATGCTTTTTGTTTGAGTTTCTCTAACAATGGATTCAACAACTCTCCTTGATCGTGCTTTGTTTCATTTCACTTCAACTCGAACTAATTAATAGCTACAATGTGGTACTTACACTTTCATGCTATGAAATGACTGAGTTCTGTACTTTGGTCTAATGTGTTCTTTTTTTGGTTGTGAAGATTTGATCTGGTGCTCTTCTCCAAGGGAAAAAAAAAATGAGAAACTAGCTTCTGGGCTTTTCGAACCCTTCATTTCTCACCTCAAATTTGCAAAACATCAGATTTCAAAAGATGTGTTTTCGATTACTCTGCAGCCACCTGCCCCTGGTACCCCCTGGTTCTCCAAAGCCACCTTTTAGATTCTATAAATCTAAAAGGGGTCAAGCTTGGATGCCAGAAATCTCCAAAACTGTTTAACTTTTTTAAACAGTTTATCTAAAAATGTTATGGTCAATGATGGGGTTTCTCACACTTGCATACCACCTTAAAAGAAGAAGCAGGACTAAATCAAGGCTCAGTGCAAAATTAGGGTATAGTTTTAAGAGGTCAATTCTCTTGACTTTTTTTTTTCTTAATTCTGACTTGTTTTACAGTTAGGAAATCATATTCTTATGTTAGAAAATGCAATTAAGAGAAAATAAACCATAGGTTGTCATTCCATGATTTCTTGGACTGCAAGATTTGCCCACTGCTCCATAGTTAGCTATATTTAACTTAACCATAATTCAAAAATTCATGCAGTTACACTTGCGTGGTGATATTCATCAGGTCAGATGTTCAATTTTCAACACCTTCACTGGCTTCCTCCGGCTCTTTTTGTTAAAAAAAAACTAGGGTTTCTTTTTTTGTTTAAAAAAAACACTCATAAAAATATAGCAAAATGAACCATGCATCTTGCTCTGTTCAAAAGAATCAAGGTGAATTAAATTTAGTTTACGTTTCCCATAATCTTACAGAAGTGAAGAGCTTTTGTAGTTTAGCTGGCGACCATCCAAATTTAAAACCCATTATCATGATTTTGTTGGAGGTTGAAAAACTAACTCTAAAAAGCACAGACACTAAACCAGGAATGTCTAAAACAAACTTAGGCTTACGAGACAGAGATATAAGCCTTTCTTTCTTTTTTTTTTTTTTTTCTATCCTTGACTTCTCTTTTTAGGGAAAGTTCCAAACAATGTTAAAACAATTGTTTGTCTTTGTCATTTAAGGATTTTCTTTTTTCAGGCCACAAATCCAGCTTGCCTTCCAATGCGCTGCATGAAATCAAATTTTTGTATGAATAACAACGCAACTGGGATTTTGAATTTTTCTTTCTTGTTTACTTCCTCAAAATCTTGGAATATTGCCTCCCTTGTTGTTCTCATGTGAGTCTATATACGTTTTTTAATGGTTATCCAACAAGAATATCATCATCATTGTTCCATTGAAGCCTTTATCAAATCTTGGTCGGCGTTTGGTGATCATGCCAGCAATTTGCTGTGGTTTGGCACCAAATTTGTTTGGTCTCAAACCATTAAAATTTGTCCGGGTAATATTCAAATTTTCTCTCTTGCATTTTCTTAATTATTCTTTGACCAGTTTGAAGGAAATAAATATGGTGGTCAATCTGCAAAACTATTGTCTAAATGCACAAGTTAATAAGACCATTCAGACCCAGAGTTGTTCTGGTATTAGGCAACTGTTTTAAAATTCTAAAATTCAGTCCAATCCAGCATTTTGGCATTCTGAAGAACATGTTTACTTGTTTAAAGGCTATAATTGTATCATTTTCCAACTGCCTCCAAGGTTTCTGATAACATTCACCTTCCCATGTTCTCTTTTCAACTTTCCTAGAGTTCTCTTATGATTTTTATATGGTTAAATTTCTACAAATTTTCCATTGATACACATTCTTTTGTTGAATGATTGCATGAATTGTTGTAGCATATTAAGAATTGCATGCCATTTTGGAAGGCCTAAATAAGAAGCTGCAAATTGCAGCAAGAAATGCAATTCCAACGTAAGCCTCCTGACTGATAAAGAATCAACCAATTTTGACTCGTGATCATTTTCTTTTTCTTCCTTTTTCTCGTTCAACCTTGTTTATGAGGCCTATATCCGCATATGTGTGATGCATGTTGAATTAAAATTCCATAGTCCATCAGGAATATTGGTTAATTAGCTCTATTGTTAGCAATCCTGAAAGAAATTTTGAACTTGTGTAGGGACTGAAAACCTATCATAAATCTAGGGCATCCAAGAATCAAAAGGAAATGAAAGGCTCCAGGAAGAAAAGTTCATTTCAACCAATATGCAACTTCATTCTGATGATGGAGCTTAGGAAAAAAATTTTAACCTTTAGAGACATCATTGACCTACCACCTTGTAGCACCTCTGTTAACACAGAACAGGTAGGGTTTGCCTTCTTCTTTAGCAAATATCTGGGAGCAGCAAAAATACCTTCTCTTAAGTTTGTTTCTATAGTTCTATCTTCCTATGTGTCTTTCTGCAGCTGCTGATAGCGACAATGAAAGATCTCCATAACTTCTACCCTGAAAGCTTACCCCACTTCCGAGGGTTACAATTGAAAGGAAGAGCTCTTAATAAGGTTTGCCACTGTTCATAAAATTAGCTAAAAGTAGCTATTTGGTTTCTAGCATAACTTCAAGATTAATCCAATGCTAACAAACTACATGAAATGCCTAAACAGCTGCTGATCTGCTTTTGCAAGGCATTGCAAGGCCTTGGAGACACGTCAAAGATGTGCGATGAGTCGATAGACAAACATGAATATGACATATATGAGAATGGGAAATGCAAAAATGTTGATAAACTCGGTATGTAGTAAAATTTCTCAAAGATGTTACATGTTGGCAATCACTATTCTTCTGCGTTTTGTCTTTGTTTGAATCTGAGAAAAAGCTAAGAAAATTAATTTAAAGGTTTTGTGTTTATCATTTCCCTGCACTCTGGTATGCAAAAGGAGTCAAGTTACCTTCTGAACTTATTCTTGATTGAAGTTGATAACAGTTTTTTCCATTTTCCCCCATTGATCTTTGGCAGTTGAAATTGCTGTGGCCAAACTCAATGGCTTGATTAAGATAGCAAGAGAGAAATTTGATATGTTGGATGAAGATGACGAAAACAAAGATTTCGGTCCAAAGGCTAACACATTTGGAAAGGTCTTAAAGGATTCTTATTCTGACAACAGCTCCGGCTGCCCTTCTCCAGTGACACCAACTTCAGTCCTTCCCGAGTTGAAGAATGGTTCTCCAAAATCTCCTTATTCCTCGCCTCTTCTGTTGTCTCTCAGGGTTCAATCGCTGGGGAAACTGAATCCCATTGATGTGAAGCGACTCACGTTACATATGCTTCCAAATGTTGGACTCCAACTTCCCAGCTGTTTGAAACAAAATAAGATTACCGTTGAGGAACAAAAGGAAGATGCAAAGGGTAATATATCAGTGAAAGAAGCATCAATTGTTGATAAAACCAGAGATTCTACCACTCCTAATGAGACATCAGAGGATCCACTTTCTAATTCAGACAACGCTTCTTGTGATGGAACTACTGATGGAAGCAATACAGCACAACCAAAGTTCCCACCACATGTAGCACCAACACTATCATCATCACCATCTGTGATGCAACCTCCCAAGTTGTCGACAAACATGGAAGTAGCTGCAGAAAAATATCCAGCAACACCAGCAGAAGTTTCATCGCCACCCCCACCTTCACAGGGAGCAAAGTTGTCAACAGACATGGAGACAGAGATAGGACTACTTCCACCACCACCAGCACCATCAGCAGAAGTTTTATCGCCACCCCCACAATCACAACCGACAAAGTTGTCAACAGATATGCAAGTAGACATAAGACCACCACCACCACCACCGTTCTTGCAGCCAAATGTAGTATCAGGAGGATCACCAGTGCCCCCGCTCCCACCCCCAATTTTGCAACCAACTATAGAAGGCGCACAACCAACATTAGTAGCAACAGAATCACAGTTGCCCTCACCACTTTCAACGCTGTCGCTGACAAATACAGCCGCAACTGGAGTAACATTGCTGCCGCCAACACCACCTCCAGCCCCATTGAATTCAAATTTAGTGGCGACAGGGGCACCCCTTCCTCCACCTCCTCCACTCCCATTGCAGTCAAAAGTAATGGCTACCGGGGCACCACTTCAACCACCTCCTCCTAATGTATCCGGAAGTCCATCAGGAATATCACCACCCCCACCACCCATGATGCTTTCAAAAGGATCAGGATCATTGCCACCACCATCGCCACCCATGTCACAGGAGAATGGGGCTGCTCCACCACCTCCTCCACCTGCTGCGGTGAAATTCTTGCGCCACAAGAAAGCAAATACTAAATTGAAGAGATCAAGTCATATGGGTAATCTATATCGGGTTCTTAAGGGAAAAGTGGAAGGATGTCCTGTGCAAGGCAAATCATCAAATGGAAAAAAGAGTGGGGTTGGAAGCAGCCCCAGTGGGAAACAAGGGATGGCTGATGCATTAGCAGAGATGACAAAGAGGCATGTTTCTCACAGCACTCTAATAAATAATAGGCGCCTGAACCTTATTCTTGTGAATTTTTGTTTTAAGAATAAGGAGAATTTTGTGAAATGCGTGACTTATCATATTCATTATTCTTTTTTGGTCTCAGATCAGCTTACTTCCAACAGATCGAAGGAGACGTTGAGACATATGCAAAATCAATCACAGAGCTCAAAACTACCATAAGCACATTCAAAACAAAGGACATGACTGAGCTGCTCAGGTTCCACAAACATGTGGAATCCATTCTCGAGAACTTAACAGATGAAACTCAGGTTAATTTGAACTTGTTTATCTACTTTTACAGCCTTAAACAGATAATTCTATTACTTCATGAATCGATGTTTAAACTCCAAATGTTTTGTAATGCAGGTTCTAGCAAGGTTTGAAGGCTTCCCCACAAAAAAATTGGAAGCATTAAGGACAGCGTCAGCACTTTACTCAAAGTTAGACTCAATTATTGCTGAACTACAAAACTGGAAGATTGAGCCTCCTTTGGGACAGCTCCTTGACAAGGTCGAGCGTTACTTCAACAAGGTATGATTTGGTTCTTGAAATAAGCATAAGATTCATACCATTCTGATCATTACCTTTTAAAGGCATTCGCCACAACTAACCAAAATGCATAAATTAACACTAACTACTTACAGATCAAAGGGGACATAGATGTCCTTGAGCGAACCAAAGATGAAGAATCCAAGAAATTTAAGAGCCACAATATTGATTTTGACTTCCAAATTCTTGTACGAATCAAAGAAGCAATGGTTGATGTTTCCTCCAACTGCATAGAGTTGGCAATGAAGGTAACTCGATTCAGAATGCATTTACTTCTCAAATCTCAATCAATTTGAGGCTAGCTGTTATTGTCTGTGACAACATCATAATTGGAATTTTCCATTTTTTTGGGACTTATTTCAGGAGAGAAGAGAAGTAACGTTGGCAAACAATGAAGGGTCCAAAACCAAACCTGAAGCACAAAGGAAGGGGTGCCCTAAAATTCTGTGGAGAGCTTTCCAATTCGCTTTCCGGGTTTATACATTTGCCGGAGGACACGATGATCGTGCAGACAAACTGACCCGAGAACTGGCTAACGAAATTGAGATGATCCTCAACACCAGTAATAATAATACCCATGTAAAGCATAGTATAGAACATATACCAAATTCATAATAATATAGCACATATACCATTTCCAATGGCTTTGTAAATTAACGCTACTTTTGTTCGAGCCGTGATTTTGATGAACTAGGAAATTAAAACTGCTTCAGGAGTTTGAAACAGGCTTTAAAGAAACCAGCAAACTCCTCCGCTTGAGATTGTTAAATGCTAATGTAATAGTATTCTGGATGCTGAACCTTTAGTTTTTTTTTGTGAGAAATGATGATTACAGGTTACGGATTGTCAGATTCCAGAGAAGACAGAAGCCAAGCCAATCCTGAGGTAGTCCTTGTCTGTTCTTTTCCGAATTCATGGACCACATCCTGTCTAACGTTGACATGAAGATGATGATGAAACCATAGAAAATGGGGTCTCTTCCCGTGCAGAATAGAAATTCACCATCATTGTTTTTCTTAATTTGTTTGAATCGAATTAATAAATTCACATTCAATGCCATTGTAATTAAGATCAAACAATTCCAGGAGGCTGGTGATCATTTGCAATGTGGAAGTAAATAGAGAAATAAAACCAGATTCTAGAAAAAAAAAAAAAAAAAAACAAAAAGAACTCTTATCTGACTTTAACTTAATTTTGGGCTCTACCATTACCATATGCAATCAAGTCACCTGATCTGACCATTACATCTTAGCATTTAGTTAAATAATTGATGCATATATTTCTTGTTTGATAAATTAAATTTACATATTTTTCCTCATAATAAAAAAAAAAAGGAAAAAGGAGAAAGAAAACTTAAGATCAATGCATGTATATTGCCAATGAGATCAAAGAGGCCAAAGGCTAGCCAGCAGACTATAGCAGCAGAAGAAAACCGCACCTGATGCAAACCAGGGGGGTTTCTGGGCTTGGACTCCAACAAGTAGCTCAAAATCGTTCATCTACAATCATCCTTATTGAGCCCTATTTCCAGCCCATTACCCAAACTTCCCACCAGACTTGAAAGCCCTTTCTGGGCGTAAGTAACGACAAGCCCTGCTCCATACTTTCTTGAGATGGGGACAAAAATGAAAAAGCTTCAAAATATGGTTTTCGAGGTCTTTTTGTTTTTATATATAAAAACCTTATGTCATTACAGATCTTTCATTTTGAGACAATAATATTCAAAGTGTTAGAAAAATGGGTTCAGCTGCATGTAATTGATTTTGAATCAATTAAAGGCTATAGTTTTGATTTTTTTTTACACAAAATCCTAATTATTTAATAAAAAGAGATGAAATTATTTTAAAATGGTGTCAAAAAAAAAAAAAAAAAAAGTCAAGAAAAGCAGAGAGAAAAAAAAATGGAGAGTTAATTGAACGAAAGTCGATCCGTGATTCGATTGAGCTAAAACTTGATCAGTATGTTTATGATTCAGAGTTCTACATTCTGAATATTGAAGATTGAGTTTGAAACTCTCTAGAAACAAATTTAAGGTGTATTTATTGAATCACCTATTTGATGAAATTTTTTCAATTATCTTAGTTGTTTATTAACTCTAGTTTTAATTAGGGAAGAACTTTGTATATCTATTATTTGATAGTAGAGATTTTTCTGATGGTTCGTAATTTTTTTCTTTATATTGAAAGATTTTTCATGTAAATTTTGATGTGCTTTACTTTTCTTTCATTATTAATTGTTGATTGTTGTCATTATTATACGTTTGTTACATTATGTTATTTTTGTATTATTGTGTTTATTACTTCAGGTCCAACATAAAGCATAATTCTAGTACACTTTGCACTTGTGCTGTATTATCCATTAAGGATCTTTATGGAATTTCAATGTTTTACGCACGTAAGATAAATATCTGGATGTGTCCTTTCACAAGTTCAGATTTCACCATATTTTCTTGTTTGCCTTCCCATCTGCTAACAATTAACCTTGATATATATTTTGCAATTTTGCATAGATTTTCTTCTTTTTTTTTTTTTCTTTCTTCTTGAAGTTTGGTACAACAATTTGTACAGTAAATTTAAGATTTTGATTTCAATCCCATTTTGCCTTTCTCTTTTGCAGCATACAAATTGGTTAATTTTACTACAAACCTGATATGTTGCATATACTTTTATATGCAAAATTAACTTGTGCAGTGATTTTCCAGGCTGACGAAGAGCTTTTCAAGCAGCAGAGTGCAGACAGCAGAGAGGTTTATTAATAGCCTATGGTCTGAGATTATTCATCCATATTGTTTCCTCTCCATCGGCAAGTAACAAGTTACACGTTTTTGTGTTCTTGGAGTATATGGTAGGCAAAGCTAATTTACTTTTCTTCTTTTAATATGAAAGGAACCCTTACACGATTGCCTTTAAAAGCAAGTAATATTTTTAATCTGCTTTATATATTATATCGTTATTTTTTGCAAAAAAAAATGGTAATTTAAAAATAAAAAAATATTGTACATATTAAAATTTAAAATTTAAAATTATTAAATATTATTTTTTAAAATGACTATATAAATTAACGTATTTTAAAAAGAGAAAGTAATTTGGTTTGTTTTGGATGTTCTTAGGTTTCTTTTGAAAATCAAGACATATATATGAATTTAATTAAATAATAAAGAGAGATTGAACTTGTAGTTAAATTCAAATTAAATTAAATTCGAAATTTAAATTAATTAATTTATATAATTATTTTTAAATTTAATATTTGAATTTTTTTTTTAATTCTTAAGAGGCGGTATCCATTGTAAAATAAAAAAAATGTAATTTTCTTTTTGGTTCATTGAACGACCAGTTGGCAAGAAAGTTAGGTTTTGATTTAGTTAGATTTCAAAGTTATACGCCGATTTGATTTACATTATCGCTTCATCAACTTTACCACTTGCTAGTTTTTCTATGAATTATGGCAAACAAAAGTGGGGAAAGACGAACTTACTGAAACGTGAATAATGAAGTATACGTATTAACTTATTCCAGACTGAAAGAGACCAAATTTCAAGATAATTATATAACCTACTTTCTGACAAATTATTAAGAATGCAAGTCATTTTTTTTAAAATATCCAATTTTCCGGCCCTACCTACCCCTTTTTCTAATTTTCGAATTACAGTTGACCATTAGATGGAAGAAATTCATCACTCAAACAAACAAATCAACACAAATTAACATGCATAATAAGAAATTAGTTGACTGACAGATTGGAAACTGTTGATCAGCGACAAGATCCTAAAATTTCTGGTTTGGTAATTAAAATTTGCTGACAATATGATTAGGTATGAAAAGCCAAATAACAAGGAAGAACACTTGAATTAGGATTTATTTAAGAGTCTGATCCAGATGATAATTTAAAAAAATACATTTTATGATTGAATGAATCTTAGAATACTTATATATTTAAACTTTTTTTTAGTAAGAAAAAATGAGGTAAATAAATTATTTATTTTTTTAAATTAAAATAAAATATGTCGTATCTGATAACTTAAAATAAATAATTATAAATCATGCATTCAAAATTATCTTATCTAAATCTTTATATATTTAAATATGTTGCAGGCTACTTGTCTCTTTTTTAATAAGCTATATATTTGAATCCCTATGAATAAATTTTATCTATTTCTTTCTTATTTTCCCTAAGTGAGGTTTCCATCCTTCAATATTTTTTTATTGGAAAACAACTTAATTGAATCCAACGCTTTTAACGGTGATACATGCACCAGTTCTTCAATAGTTAATGTAGCATGCAACTTTTCAAAGAGAAAAGGTTGTTTACTTTTTAAAAATCATAATTAATTTAGGTATAGTTTCCTTATGAATTTAGTAATCTAGGGAGACAAGGAGAAAAAAAAAAAAAAAGAGATTTATCAAAATTTTCAATGACAAATCACAAGGAAAGAAACGCAACCATTTTCATTACAACCATTTTGCAAAACAAAATAAGATTGCAGAAGAAAATAGTGAAAGTTTCAATTTCAAACAAAACATTACAACCGAGAATTTTGTGGGGAAACATCAAATTAATTGATCAATCTCGGGAAAACTCAATCTTGATGCCACCAATCTTAACAAGACCACCGCCATATTTAGGCACCAAAGTGACCACCACACCATCATCATCCTCAGCATTCAATTCCTCCAACAAATCTGTTAAGCCCAACCTCAAAAATGTTTTCATTTTCTTTCCATGTTTATGTTTATGTGGCACATTGACAAAGCTCCCTGCAAACTCGGTGTTGTCGGGTCCGATCACGGTGTCATCCTCATCGTTAACGTACACATCAAATTTCACAAATTGGTCTCTGTCAAACTCAATGTTCTCGATCACCAACACTTCCTCTTCCTCTTCTTTTTCTTTTTTGCTCCTTGATTTCTTTGGCCTTGCAACCTCAAGGCTGACAACGTCGTTTAAAACCAGAGGGAATTGAACGTTGCTTAGAACTTTTTTCTTCGTCTCTGCTGCATGTGCAACCCCTAGAGCCCTTGCCACTTTACTGGCAAGCCTTCTAGGAGTTGGTTTCGTGTTTAACCATGGAATGTCAACCTTTTGATAACCATATCCCAACTTTCTATGGTCAAGGCAATCGCGGACCTTTACACGAACAAGATCTGCATTCTCATCATAGAAAAGAAATGCGGAATCAAGCCAGTCTGAGTCAGTGAAATCGGTTCGCTTCCCTCCCAGTGTCTTCCAAACCGACCACATCCGGTCCACATTGGAGTGATGAGCATAGAAAATGGGGTCTCTTCCAGCGGAATAGAAGTTCCCCATGTCTTCCAAATTAGGTTGTGTGTTGTCACCGCACCAAATGTGGACTGGTCCGTGAGGAATGTTCTCAAGTGCACCAGCTCCGGGGTCCGGTTCGTCGCCAGCACGATAAGCATGTCCTAGGAAAAGCTTCGCGGTCTTGCCATTAGACACCATTTGCCTGTACATGATTTTAAGGTTACTTGATATCTGATCCTTGGCTGATAAGTTTTCATCGGTGCCATTGTAATCAAGATCAAGGACAGTAGGTGGTTGGTGATTGGCATTGCGGAGCTTATCATAGAGTGGGGAGTTAGGGTTTGCATAAATGGCAGGCATTTGCATGCCAGCAGGAGAATCCCAGTTCCAAAATGGCATTGCAAAAGTTGGGTCATCAATCAACTTACCCAAGATTTTTTCAAAGAAATAAAGAAAATATCTATGGAATGGAAAGAAAAGCCATGAGTTATGAACTTGAAGATCAAGATCTGGAAACCCAACTTGGTGATAAGCCCCATCGCAGTAGGCACAATGAACATTTGCTTGTTGCATGAAGTTACGTGGATCATCAGCAGGAAGAGCTTTCATGAGCTCAAGGGCCCTGGAAAATTTAGCTAAGTAGGCGTCATCAACTAAATGAGCTGCAGGCCTGGTGCGTAATGGGGCATTTGAAGGAGGGAGCTTGAAATCTAAGATTTTCGTTGACGGTGGTGGGCAACAATTGACAGGTTTGGCGCCAGCAGGCAGGTCTGCTTTGCCACATTTGGTTAAATCCGGGGCAGCAATTGGAGCCGCAAATGCGAATGGGTCATTAAGGCTGGTTACACCATAAAGACCTCCAAGGCCAACGAGGACATCTCTCCTATCAAACTTGTTTATAGAAGATTCCCCAACATTTTTAGCACTAGGATTGGGGTTTTGCTCACCATTTGTGGCTTTGCATGAGACTGCTCTAGAGATGAATTTAGGTTTTCGCTTCCCAGCTATAGAAAGTTGGGATGTTTTTGGAAGGAAAGAAGAAGTAATGGAAGTGGAGGCACCGGTGGTGGTGTGGTGGTGACGGATGGTGGTAGGAGAGAAGCCATAATTTGGTCTGATGGCACAATAGCTGTGATGAAAGATCAAGAGACTTCCATTGCTCTTATAACAAGTGAGATTGGACTTTTCTCCACATGCTAATGCATGTTACAGGTAATTGATAAAAATTAAAAACATTTACAAATGCACGCCACCGCCCACGAGGGGAAATAACCTAACTGGGAAGAAAAGATTATTAAATTTTATTGGAACGTTGAACTTCTAATACATGCCTGACATTTTTCATTTTATATAGTTCAAAACTTATTACGCTAACTCGATAATTCTTTGAGCTTTAAATAATTTTGATTTTTTAATTATATAGGCATTTTTAATAAAAAAAAAAACAAAATTTCATCATTTAATAAGTATATTTATTGGTGAAAATTTGTATATAAATATTTTTTTATTAACTGTTTACATTTTTTTATATTTTTCATTGAATCCTTTCTATCGATTTATTTTCAATTATCTTTTTATTTGATCTATTCCAATAGAAAGCTTTAAGAAATTGATCTAATTAAGAAACCTTTTATCTAATTTCTACCTTTTATCTTTTTGAGTGTAATATAACATAAAAAATGCCTATTATGTTTACTGAAAAACTAAAGTAATTAATGGGTTGTTAATTAATTGTAAGTAATATAAAAATTTATCAACAATCGTGTAATTTATTGATAAAATATTATAAATTTTTTATTTTCATAACTAAAATTCAATCCGAACAATATAAAATATTTTTAAAAAATATAAGTTCGTAAAGAAACTAAATTCACGGCGCAATTCAAAGCAAAAAAAAAAAAATTATTTTCTCTCACTACTCTTATACGTATAATAATTAATAACAATTTGATGAGATCAGTTGAACCTTAATGCATGAGATTAGCTATACCTAATCCATTATTTAACAACCTCGGAAAATGTTAAATACATATTTTACTCTTAAAAGCAAATCTTTGTTTAAATTAGCATGTAAAAACAAGACATATAGGCTGGACTTGCTTGATCTTTCTTTTTTTTTTTTTTTTAAATTGTATTGATTTTTTAAATATTATCAACAAATGTGTATCATGCTAGGCCACAACTTGATTCATATTAAACACAAACTTCTATATTTTTTTTCTTGAAGTAAGATATCGTTTCACTTCCAATTCCAATATATATATTTTTTTAAATAAAAAAAATTTCAAAATTTTAGAATTTTTTATATAAGAAGTCGTAATCTAATAATAAAAAAATAATATTTTTAATTAAAAATAATTATATGAATTAATTAAATTAATTTTATACTTTTAGACTCGTTTTTACGAGTTTTCTCCTATGTCTCCTTTCTATACTTGTATTATTTACTTTTTTACCCCCACCCAACTGATTTTTTTATAGTCATTTATTTTCTTTCATCAATGTCTTAACTTGTTTTTACAAGCTAGTAAAATTTTTTGCTCTAAATGTAAACCGATGAACTTAAGACTTTATTTTTTTCTAATTATTTCTAGACCAATTGATGCTAATGTCCATCAACCCTAATCCTGTGGGCAGAAAATATTTTTATACATGGGAAATTAATTGATGCAAAGTGAATTCAAATTTCAAACTAATTAATTTGGTCAACCAAAGCAATGTATGAAGACAAATCTCCATTCTTCCACATTTATCATTCCACCTAAGGGCCAGTCCTACATGAGCTAATGCAAACCTAAAATTTTATATACAGCTTGAAAATTTTGACAAAGAATTCTAAGTGAAACTCTTATAAATATACATTTCTTTTGAAATTGAAATTCTTATAGAGGAAGGTTCTTCGCAATTAATTTTAATTACTCACTAACAATAATGCACATTTATTACTTGTTTTGTCATTTTTTAAAATGTTTTTAAATTATTTTTTTAAAAAAATTAATTCTTTTACGTTTTTATATTTTTGTTTACGTGTTGACATTAAATTCTTGGTGGTTCAATTTTATAAAAAATTAAATAAAAATTACACTAAAATCAAGACCTTTTTTAAAGTTCGTAAAAAATAAATGGAGATAAACAAAATGAGAAAGAAAAGAGGGAGTAGTGATAGTCCAAAAATATTTAGTCAAATAATCAGACCCGGAAAAGTTGAAAAATGTAATAGACATTGGTAACACGCAATTAATAGCCTATAGGTCCAATTCTCGAATTCTTGAATTACTAAACCAACTCAATATTTAATTTAATTTATATTTTTTTGAAATGTATTTAATAGATAATTAAATATTTTTTAAATGTATCAAAAGGTCCAACATCGTCCACGTAGCTCAATCTTAAGATTTCCCTTACTTTTCGACTCATAACTCCAACTTCCTACTTGCCTTAAAAGTTAAGGATAACAATGGGTTAGATTAAAATAGATTTTTAGTTGTCTCGAATCTCATTTAATTTTATATTTATAAAATTAAAATTTAATTTAAAGCTTATTTTATTTTTTTATACTCGAACACGATCTAACTTGAACTACATAAATTGTATCTAATTCGATTCGAAATTAATAAAATATTATTTTTTAAATATAAAATATTATTTTTTAAAAAATAAATATATAATTATACAATTATATATAAATACAAAATTAAATAATTAGTTAAAAAATAATATATATATATATATGATCGGATCAAATTTATCTAAAACTTGATCTTAATTTTTTTTTATTATTATCTGATTTGATTCGACTCAAAATTTAATTTAAAAAAAATAATCTTATGAGATTGAATTGATTGAAACTCGTTACCCTTTATGTAGAGATTATGGGTTTTTTCATTTAACAAAATTTGATCTTTACCCCAGCCTTAAATCAAAAAAAAAAAAAAAATGATCTTTAAAACTAGTTATAAGCATCAAATGGCGGAGAATCAATACCACTTGAAAACCGTCACATTTTCCTTTTTATTACAACGTGTTTAGTGTCATAGTTCGCATTTTTTCTGTATCAAGTGATAATTTTAGTTCTACCGAGATTGAATCTAACGGCTGAAATCTCGGTCCGTGATATTTAATACTTATCTCTTTCTTAAAGCTTCATGTCCAAGGTGATTGAAGGATAAGGAAAAGGATAAGTTGACAAGTTTGATTAGTTCTAAAATTTTCCACTTGTATTTCGTGGGAAGAATCATATTCAGCTTCCTTTAGCGAAAAAAATAAAAAATCCTTTCTGTCTCGATCTTAGTTTTGTCTCATTTTTCAAGTACGGCAAGTTGACATTTTCTCTTTAATTGGATGCAGGGGACAAACTTCCAAATGGAAACCACCACTGATCAGTTTTACAAAGCTATTCAAACTTCATAGTAGCATGCTTTTCTTGACCTTGATTACCTCTCAAGATATCGGTTTTCCATTACATTTATGTTTCATCACGTTAATTTTATGTAAAATACTGTTTGAAGACTTCTAAAAATGACGAGTTAACTTTGATTGTTGAAACGTGAAAGTTAGCTGAGTAGGATGAATTACCAAACTTGTTAAGTGATCGATCTCTCATTGTCTGTTCATATATTTCTTAATGTTGAATCAAGTAAATAATTGAGCATGACCTTTCTTATAACCATTAATACCATTTCAGTCTTAATAATTTAATAATAGAGCAGATGAAAATAAAAAATGAAGTCGATCATTGTCATTTATTTATACATTTATAGAACGATAGGGACAAATTAATCAACAGAAAAGAGAAGCCATTAACATTTTTCACTACAAATAACGAAGATTTCCAAAATCAAAAGCATCCGACATTATTTTCAGTGATTCATTTATTAATCTTGAATGAACTCAATCTTGATGCCGCCAATCTTGACATTATCCTTTCCGTATTTTGGCACCAAAGTCACCATAACACCTTCATCATCCTCAGCTCCCAAATCTTCCAACAAATCGGTTAGCCCCAACCTCAAGCATGTCTTAATTTTCTTCCCACCCTTGTGTTTGCGTGGGACATTTACAAAGCTGCCAGCAAATTCCGTGTTGTCGGGTCCAATTGTCATATCATCCTCGTCATTCACATATACATCAAATTTGGCAAATGAATCTCCCTCTAATTCAATTTGGTCTATCAATAAGATTTCCTCTTCCTCTTCCTTTTCCTTTTTACTCCTCGATTTCCTTGGCCTGGGAACATTAACACTCACGATCTTGTCTAAAACTATTGGGAATTGACTGCTAGATATTACATTTTTCTTATTCATTTCTGCTGCAAGTGCAATCCCTGGACCACCCTTTAATGCCACTTTCTTGCTTAGCTTTCTTGGAGTTGGCTTTGATTTTAGCCATGGAATATCAACATCTTGATAAACATATCCCAAGCTTCGGTTGTCAAGGCAATCACGAACTTTAACTCGAACAAGATTTGCATTCTCGTCGTAGAAAAGGAATGAGGAATTTAGCCAATCGGGGTCAGTGAAATCCTTTCGCTTCTTACCTAACGTCTTCCAAACGGTCCACATTCGATCTACGTTTGAGTGATGAGCGTAGAAAATGGGGTCTCTTGCTGCTGAGTAAAAAGTTCCCATGTCTTCTCTATTTGGTTGTGTGTCATCGCCGCACCATACGTGAACCGGTCCATGAGGAACGTTCTCAATCGAACCGAATCCTTGATAAGGTTCATCACCTGCTCGGAAGGGACCTCCTAGGAAGAGCCTGGAGGTCTTGCTATTAGATATCATCTGCCTATACATGATTCTGAGATTGCTCGTCAATTGATCTCTGTTTGTTGTACTTTCGTCAGTACCATTGTAATCAAGGTCAAGTAGTCTTGGCGGGTAGTGACCTAGGTTTCTAAGTTCATTGTAGAGAGGTGATTTAGTGTTTGCATACATGGCAGGCATTTGCATGCCAGCAGGAGAATCCCAATTCCAAAATGGCAAAGCAAAACTTGGGTCATCAATCAATTTTCCCAAAATTTTCTCAAAAAAATAGAGATAATATCTGTGGAATGGAAAGAAGAGCCATGAATTATGAACTTGAAGCTCAAGATCAGGAAATCCGACTTGGTCATAAGCCCCATCACAGTAGGCACAGTGAATATTTGCTTGTTGCGTGAAATTACGTGGATCGTTGGCAGGAAGAGCTTTCATAAGCTCAATGGCCCTGGAATATTTGGCCATGTAGGCATCGTCAACTAAATGTGCAGCAGGCCTAACGCGAAAAGGGGAATTGGAAGAAGGTGGTTTAAAATCTAAAATCTTTCTTGACACTGGTGGGCAACAATTGGTTGGATCCGCACCTTCAGGTAAATCTGCTTGGCTACATTTTTCCAACTGTGGGGCAGATATTGGGGCTGCCACTGCAAATGGGTCATGGCTAAGGCTAGCTGCACCATAAAGACCTCCAAGGCCAATGAGTACATCTCTTCTATCAAATTTGTAATTAGGATTTTGGTCATTCTTTGTGGCTTTGCATGATACTATATTGGGGATGAACTTAGGCTTTTGCTTTCTAGCTATGGAATGTTGGGATGGTTTTGGAAGGAATGGAGAGGTAATGGAAGTGGGAATGGTGCTACAGCTGGTGGATAATGGCGGGCAAAGGGAAGCCATAGTTTGGGTTTTGGGCACTGTTTCGATGAAGATCAAGAGACTTAGCATTACTTTTATAACAACTACTGCATTGGACTTTTCTGTCGGCAATAGGCTAATGCACTTGCAAATTTCATAGTTGACAAAGATAAGAAATGACAAATTAAAGGAGGACTATTCTTGTCGTATAAAATTTGAACCTCTCAAATATAAGGCTGAAATAATTCCTAGTTCATTGTTATCACTTATCTCATTATCAATAGTCGTATGATTTGTTAGTAAATTATTATATTCATTATTTTAATAATAAAAAATCAATTCATAACAACATTAAATAATTGAATAATAAAATAATATGAGATAACCTGAAATGGCTAACAAGAATTTTTTGGCTGAAATCTTGATAGAGGAGAGGAAGGTTCAACATATAAATTAATTTTAAATTTTAATTATTGTATACTGTAATCATTATGCATATATATAATTACTAATTACAAATTTAAAAAATTCTCAAGAAATTTAAGAGATAAGATACAATTTTCTTTTTCTTTTTCTTTCTTTGTCTTTTTATGGAATAGAAAATCTCCGTTGCCATCGTTGGAACTTAGAATTGAACTAGTCGAATTGATGTGAGTGACTAGTCATAGTTATCAAATAGAAGACGACTCTTAATGGCCAACCGCTGCCAGGAAACTGAGGTTTGGGCTCTGACGACTGCAAAACAGGCCACTAATTCATTCATACCTAAACTGACAAACATCCCAGCCCAGGCCCCACAATTCTTCACCTCCCAAATTCCGGTCCATTAGCTCAAACTGGATCAGCCCTTCCTTGATCTTGGTGGCTAGATGCACATGTCATCTCTCTGAGTTCCTGGGTTCGAGGGCTATCAAAAAATGAAAAAAAAGCTCAAACTGGATCAATCCTGGATTTGTTTCAAGATGAGAACACTGAGAAGAGTGGCAAGTAAATGTTTCAGAGGCTAGGAATAAGAGAGAAACTGTTGATTATTGCTAACTTTGAAGAGCAGGAAACAAATGGATAATGGAAGAGTCCATAAATTCTTTATCAATTTATGACATTGTTAAGCTAAAACATAAAATAATATAAAACTTCAACTTGGGATCTTGCCAGGTTTCTCTATCGCAATGAAAAGATTGTCCCTCTACTTTCTACTATTTGTTTTTTTCGGTGGATAAACACAGGGTCAAAATCAAATCATTAAACAAAATTCAAGCAATCAAGACTCCCAACGTACCCAAAAAGGAAAAAAGTGTAAAAACTAGTAAAAAACAAAGGTTTCAAGAACAAATGAAAACAGTTGTCGTTTCATAGGTACTTCTTGTTGCAAGAGAAAATCTCGGTTCATTTTTCAGTGTTGGATCCGTTTGCCTGATTATCGTTTCCTAGGCACTCTTTTCCTTACTTTTTTTTATCTATATGCTTCCCTGGGTTATTACTTCTCGAGATATTTGTTTCTGCTTTATGGGTTTTTTTGTTTGTTTGAGCTATGGCTTCAACGTTGTTACTAGCTCTGGTTTTTGTGATTGATCTGATTGCTTTTGGACTTGCTGTTGCTGCTGAGGAAAGGAGAAGTACTGTGAGTTTTCTTCTCTTTATGTTTGCTAAATTGCCATTTTGTTTCTTTCCTTTTTTAGTATCCTCTTTGCTGTTTCAGTTTCGTTTCCTTGTTATGGCATGTCTTTTTTTTCTAACCTGCTTTGATATGCTAATTTCCAAAAGTTTGGTTAGCTTATTTTGTTTAAGATTGTATGAGTTGCGTTTTTTATTTCATGTTGAAAAGTTTAGGCTTTTTTCCTATTGTAACTGAAAAGTTGTCTTTTTGGCTCCCAGCTTTGTGAAAAACAAATATTTGCTACATGGTTCTTTGCTAGATCTAGAATGAATCTGCTTTAACCTGTTGGTCACTTTGGCAAGATATTGCTACCAAATTCTTCATAGAGTGTGTTGAAGTTCCATTTTCAACAAGTGCACACTGAAAACTAAGCTAGAAATACATTTGGGTGCAAAGTGCAAACTATTTGACTAAAAATGGGTCGACAAGATTCAGTCATAAGTTTAGGGAGTCTTATATCTGAATTACCAAAGAGGGAAACTTTGTTTTGCTGCAGTTGTTGTGGACGAGGTTGCTGGATACATGATAAAGGTATATCCAAGAAATATGTAGGAAAACACTAGAGGAAACAATGCTGAGAACATTATCTATCTTGCATATTATTTTAAATCATATGTTACTGCAATAATGGTTTAATTAGAACTTCAAGCTGAGGGCATGAAGGTACGCTTGCATTCTGTTAATGTCATGTGCATTGAAGAATTCTCAGTGTTGGTTTTCTTAATAGATGAGATTTGGGTAGGGTAACTGTTGGTGGTAAGTTCATAGGCTATCCTTCTTTCAACAACTGCAGAATGTTTGGTAAAGTTGCAATCGTGTATCTTACAAAGATATCATTGTATTCATGCATGTCGCTTATATTTGGATAAATAAGTGCCTCTTTTGTTGGGTAATCTTTGATGATTAAATGTGCATGCTTTGTTTCCTGCGTTGCTTTCCTGCTGTTAAGAGAAATAGGATTTTATAAAAGGAAAAGGTATTAGTATTGCAGAGTTTCTTGTTTGAAGGAATAAATTCTAGAATCAATGAAGATTGAGTGTAACAAGTTCCCAGTTTATATGGAAGAAACTGGTTTATTATAGGATAAGAAGGTATTCCATCATTCTTTGTTTGCAGGCCACCGTTGGCAATGATGGGAAAGAAAGCTATTGTATTTATGATAAGGATATCGCAACTGGCTAGGGTGTTAGTTCATTCATATTCCTTCTGCTTAGTCAGATATTAATAATGGTGGCAAGCCGATGCTTATGCTGTGGGAAGGCCATGAGACCAAGTGGATCTAGAGCATGGGCAATTGTCCTATTCATCACATGCTGGTATGTTTTTAGTTAATAATTTAAATGATCAAATCATCATCATTGCCAAGAAGTGTCTTTGAGCAACCTAGCCAACAATTGCCTTTTAATGCTATCATCTAAATGATGTGTTGCATTGGTATTTCAGGGTGTTCTTTTTCATTGGGGAGGTATGCTTGCTGGCAGGGTCAGTGCGGAATGCATATCACACAAAGTACAAGAATCTCTTAAATAATCCCCCATCTTGCGCAACATTGAGAAAGGGTGTCTTTGGGGCTGGGGCTGCATTTGTTTTCCTAACAGCCATAGTCTCTGAGCTTTACTATGTTAGTTACTCCAAGGCTAATGATGGGCAGGCAAGCTATGGCAGAGACACTGGAGTGAGGATGGGAAACCTATAGATGAGTATGGTCAGAGATGGTAATAAGAAATATCTAAATTGTAATTTAGTTAATTGACCATAGTGTTTTTGAGACAACTTGGGTGATAGCATGTGTGATGGAGCATATATTTATCTTAACCATGGACATGGACTTGTGTGTATGATAGCTAGTTTGTGAACTGAACCTGCTTTGCATGAGTTGAGGCCTAAGTCCAGTAAAGTGAAACCTCGTCACAAGAACTGAGGCCCAAATCCTTTGTGATGCTGATAGCTAGTTTCTTGAAAAATAGCCTAGAAGAAACAAAAGGAAAAGATCTCTAAAAAATCATCATCTGATCAAATTCCTAGAATGACAAGCTCTGATGTTAATCGTTCCTGTTTGTCTCATGAACAAGCCAGAATACCTCACACAAGTTCCATACCTTGATATACTAGCAGAAATGAACAAGCAATTAGAAGCAATGATATCATTCCGGAACTCCCAATTTCTCAGTTATTTTACAAGAAGAAACTTGTTGGATTTAGTCATTGGTACTCTTAAGACTCTTTCACATTCTCATGACAGCCACTGGCCAACAGCTTCTCCAGTGTAGTTCAAGCTTCCATTCAAGTGTGATTCACGATTCTTGTTCAGAACCAAATTAAAGAATGTGACAATTAGCTCATGCAAAACACATGTTAAATGGAGTGAATTAATAATAGCTGTTTCTTCGGGTGCTACTCCATGTCCCCACAAGCATTACATCCCTGCCAGGGGCAGAGCGGTATAAATTTTTCCCCGGTGTTTTAAGCTGTAAGACGTTCTTGAATTTCCTAGAAATGTTTCCAAGTTTTTGAGGGAACAAGTTAAATCAGTCTCTGCCCCTTTTTGTAACATCAGTCAGTTCAATCTTATCATTTCCATGGAAGCTATAATAAATTCAAACGGCCATATGATCAGATATTTGATGCTTTTGTTACTCTATGAAACAACAAGCCTTCCACAATTAGAGTACAATTATTCAACCATTTTCATCATGAAATTTGTGCCCAAATAACTGAAAGGGCAAACCGATGAATCTTTTTAATAGAAGAAATGTGACAATTTAAGTAATCAAACCTTCATTGAACATAACTAAACTATTTGCTAAGCCCATAGATACACTCAATTTAGGGAAGCTGATCGAATACAATAAAACAAATTATAAGACAAGCCTTGATAGTGTGGCCCCAATCTGCACATGCTCTGGATCTTAACTGAGAGGATGTGAACAGATCATATTGGAGCAAAGACTTTAATGCCTAATAAACTAAAAATAAATATCAATGAAATCTACAAGCACACAGTTAAGACCTGCCAGAAGAGAAAAATAAGAAAAAGCTAATGCATAAAAACTACTTTACAACCAGAATGCTGTCAGTACAAGGAAAAGAGAATAATTCTCAATAAGTGGTCATAAATTATGAAGAAACGAATGCATGTAAATATTACTAGTTTTCAGATATCCCAAAATATGCATATCCACAAGAATCTTCCATCACATCCAGTTTGCCCAGCATAGCTGGAAGAGACCCCATTTCTGAACTCTCCATATATGATATATTCCACCTCATCTCCCCCTTATTCCATTCATAAAACGAGGAACAAGCTCGACCTAACATACACATTCATATTCTTGCATTATATATAGGAGGTAGAGTACAAAATGTACACCTTCAGCCTGAAGATGAATCTGAAAAATGACAGCTTCTAACAGTCTACATCTCATTTTTAACAGTTACAAGTTGAAAAGGAAGACTATACATGGTAAAAAAAATCTAAGAAAGGGAAACAAAAATAACAAGAAAATGGGGATTCTTATAGCTAGAAACCGACAAATATTTTAAAGAGAGAAAAAAAAATTGAACCATCCTTCGTGAAATAGGAACACGCAAATCAAGAAAAGAGCTATAGACAATGGATATATGGTTAAAAGACCTTCATGGTTTGATCTCAGAATCATCCCATGGTATGTTGACATCATTACAGATAAGTGCATCAATATCATCCCAATTCCAGTAGTTTGACATGTCCATGCCACTGCTTGTAATAGGTACTTGCCATGGCTGTGAAAGAGTGCAACTTGTGGTGCGCATGACGATGCTGGTAATGGTTGGATCCTTCATTGTTTCTCCAGTGTAGTTATAGATTCTCGAAGATTGAAATGAGGTTGACATTGAAGATAGCGTTGTATCAAAAGAGCTTGAGCTTGAACTTGAAAATGGAAATTGTAAGCCATGAGTTTGAGGTAAAGACAGGGTTGAACCCAGGAACACGCCATTGCTTGTGCTGAAACTTTTGCTGTCCAAGTTGCCGCAATTGATAGAATTCTGTTGCAAAAATGAAGATGGTGGACGACTCAGCGCATGAAATTGAATATTCGATATGTTCTTTTGATCATCAAGTGGAAGCTGAAGATCCTGCCTTTGTTGCTGCTGCTGAATTGCTGTGAAGCTATTGAGCCTATTGTTAAAACCGGAGGTGGTTGAGCTATTGATTGCAGCACTGGCTGTGCTAGTGTTCTTTCCAGGGTTGGTGGCGGCTGTGTTGTTATTTGATGTCTTAAGCCGCTTGTTTTTGCGGCCTCCACCAACAGGAACATTGCGGAGAGTACCACCTTTTGTCCAGTGCCTTTTACAAGTCTTGCAGAAATGCCTAGGCTGTGACTTGTTATAGTTGTTGTAGTAACAGAACTTTGTGTTTGTAGAATCACACCTTGGACACTTCAGTGGCTCTAATTGCTGCCGCTGGTTTTGTGGACGTTGCCTCTTCATTGCTGAAACTTTTGGTAGCTCCAGAGTTTGAGCCTGCAACAAAGATTGGCTCCAGCCAAGACCATCACTAGAAACATGTTTAGAACTCAATCCCATATCTCTATGTATACTTCAGATCAAACTCTTGACTACCGCAAGCAAGAGTGACGTGATGATTGATCAGGTCAAAACCCAATCAAATTCTAGCCTTTGGATCGAGGTGAGAGAAGAGAGATCAACCTGACGAAAAGCAGGATAAGCCAAACAGCTTGATATTGGAGCTTGTTAATTGCAAGAAAATTCCCTGGAAGGTGATGAGAAGTGAGCATGCTTTGAGCCTTCCTATCTGTAATCTAAGCTATTTTATATGCCAACCTACTAACAATATATTAATAACAAAAATTATTTGAATGGCAAGAAAGCTTTGCTAGAAAAATAAGGGGTGGAGATTCATTCAATTTTCTCTTTTACTTGAGCTACCAAGATTGGCAGATTCTTTCAACTTTGCTAAACAATTAATCTGATATTTATAGAAGAAGCATTAATTGTCTTGCCTCTCCAAAGAACTTTATAGTGCAAAAAAATGAAGATATAGGAGAGATCAAAGAGGAGGGAAGAGAAGATAGAATTCCTTATCCCTGAAGGTGAAGGTGGGTTGGTGACTCGTGGAATTACCTGGACCGTCGATAGTGGAGTGATTGGTTGGGCTGTAAAGAGAGAACGTAGAGCTCATGCTATACTACAGCAAGTAAGCCTGACGGATATAACGTTGCATGTCATCATCATGGGCCTATGCACATGTGATTACATGTTACAAATTAGTCCTGGGAGATCAATGCTACTCATGCACGTGTGGGCTCTCCCATATGTGTGAAATAGTCGCTCGAAGTTGGGTCTACAAACGCTAAATTATTGCTACCAAGAGCAGCCACGATCTATGGCCGCAATCCTTTCTGATCTTTTCCAAAGAAAATGATGTAGAAATCTGATGCTATTGCTATATACATACATATACATGTATGCTTGCTGTGATCCATTTTGTGTCAAACTACCAGCCATGAAATTGACGTTTGTTGCTTTCTTCTAACATGGCAGAAGAAGCAAAGAAATCTAAAATAAATCACTCATTTCATTTCTGTTCGGCAGATAATGAACACACCAAGTGGGAAAATCATCAAATAGAGACAATTGCACAAAGATCAGAATCTTATCCATGGGTTTTCTGTGAATTGTAACAAGTGTTAGGGCAACCACACCTCAAGAATAATAGGGTTCCTCTAATATGCAAACAGAGAAACAGCCTCTAATATATAACGCATCTCCATTTCAGTAAATACAAGATTTGATTCTGTCTATGAATATAAGCAACATATAAGAAAGAAAACCAGTTTATTTTTGTCTGATAGTTAATGAGAGAATCAAAATAAAATTGTATCATTACATGGGAATTTCATCAATGATTCGAATAAATTTGACATGGTAAAAGTTCATAGCTAGCCTCCATGAAATAATGATTCCTGCAAGTTGGCCGTCGCACAAAATTGGACCATGAAAGCCATGTGCAAATAATTAAGCCACTAGTGAAGGATAATTAAGCCACTAGTGAAGGATAATTAAGCCACTAGTGAAGGATAATTAAGTTTGATTTTAGACAAGTTCAGATTCTTTCTTACATGTTTATCTAAGGGAATGTGAATGGAAACCAAACTTTGGTCGGTTGGCTAGGTAAAGTTGATTGTGTGGCCATTTTCAACACTTTCAAAATGATAAAACAGACTGTCTGTCGCTCAATTTAGAAAGCAACTAAGCAAGTTTAGCATCAAATTACTAATTTAATAACAAGAGTCCAACTTGTACACCTGAGAGGTTAATAGCTGATCATCATACCACTTTTGGTACTTCACATTAAAAATTGTTTCCAATCTGATCAAACGAAGAGCACGACATATAAACAAAATAGCCGCTGCAGCCCATTTTTATAGTATCATTAACATTAGTGATTAGTTAGAACATCATGGATGATGGGGCCTCCCTGCTGGACCACTAGAGCAATTGTTGAAATCTTGGTTGGGAAATGTGTTCAAAGGTCGGTGCAAATTTGTTGAGTATTGAATTCACTTGGAATATTGACTGGAAAAAAGAAATGGAAATTAACAAGACGCTGAAGCATGATGGATCAGTGACCCATCAGCTGCCGTGTTAATCATGAAGAGTGAAGTTCAACACGTAGCCTTAAGGGCCAATTTGAACCCCCATGATTTTTTTGGTCATCGTGTTGTCCAATATCAAGAAACATTTTGTTTGATGAAAATGCATGAATCATCAATAACCCTGTTTGTATAAATCTTTTCTTGATCTCTTTCCAAACGTTTCTGTTGTCATTTTCACTATCTTAGCCCTCTTTTGAATTTGGTCTCTCTTGGTTCTTATGATCAAAGCCTAAATCTGAATAGATGTTTTTGTTTTGTTTTTGTTTTTTATTCTTGCATTTATTTCATGCATGCCAGGCCACAACAAAATTTGACAAGGACATGGTTTGTTGGCAAAAAAATTAGTCAAAAGAACCTGTCCACTGTCCACATTAAGAAAACTTTGAGCCAGTTTTCATACATATGATAACTCTAGGATCCCTGGAAGAGCACAGCCTAAAAGGGAAACCAAAAGTGACGAATTTCCATTCATAAATAAAATAGGCAATACGAGTTCTGTTTCTTTGTTTCTGAACAAGCGGAAAATTGCAGAGAAACCACTTCCTGAGAACGTTTTTGCCTACTATTTGTCTAGAGATTGAAACTTGGAAATCACATTAATCCCAAACTCGACCAATTTAAGAACTGACAGAAGACTACATGCCAAGCTGACCAGTTTGACATTACGATAAGATTTTGTTCACTGATGGGATCCAAGGGCCCCAATTTTCTGCGCTTGGGCGGCAAAAAGGACCAAATTCAAACTCCAAGCTGTCTAATCGATGTTTGGCAACATGTTAATCGATAATTTAAACAATCTAACAAGATTAAAGAGTCAAAGCTGAACAGTTTATTAAACTTGGTTCAGACTCCTAATATTAACTAGAACAGTTTATACAGATAATGGTTCAGGCATCAGACATTTGAGATGACCTCTTGGGACCATTATTGAACGATTGCTTGCCTGAATTAAAGGGTTAATTTTGACTAACATAATCAGTAGGCGACATTTATCATGATTAAAAGCCTTCTTTTCTTGGATATATATATATGTATATATATATATATATATATATACACAGGCATCTGATAAAATTGAAACAATAATGAATCAGCTTGAACGTGACCTCAAAGGAAAAGTAGAAGTTTTTTTTTTCTTTTTGAGCGTACCCAATTTCAAACCAACAATCCATTCATGTAAAAACCAATCAGCTAGTCACCGTTTCGAGATGTTGTTGGTGCTTGGTCAACGTGGATTAGGTCTACTAGAGAGTAATGAAGAAGCAAGGGATTTATATATAAAAAAAAGAAAGGTGTTGTCATTTGTCATTCTGCGGCAGCGACGGTTGGCTGAATAAAAAGAAAGTGTCACGCTCAAATTGTAAATATTATATTAAAACACTACTTGCCTATTTGGATTCCTGTTAATAGAATCAACCTCAAGAGATCAGTAGAGTCAAGGTAGGCTTTGAAAGCGCCACTCATCCATTACCACTCAAAGCTATGAGGGCCCCAATCTCTACTAATATTCAAATTTCAATTTGCATGATGAAGTTAGTTTGTGGTCAGAACTAAATATTCTTCCATGTAATTGTCAAAATATAGGGTTCGTTTCATCAAAAACAAATATATATATATATATATATATATATATATATATATATATATAGGGTTCGTATTTCTTGTGAGGGCATGAGCATATGCAAGACTAGAAGGTCAAGTGATGGCTGAGCGGCAAACCAACAAAATTATTCATTTATGCTATCAATCGAAAAATTATACCATTGTGACATAAGGAGAACAAAAAAACAAAATATACGAAGTAGAAAGACCCATGGTTGATATTGAAATGAAGTTATGAAAACAAAAAATCATCCATAAATTTGACGTTACTTCCATCCATTTCTCATTTGTTTTTTCTAACGAATTCCTAACCTTTATCCTTTCTTGTGTTGATCTCCTTTCAATAGCCACAAAAAAATAATTAAGATTTGAACTTTAGTTTTTCTTTGATTAACTTTTAATATCTATTAGTTCACTTGTAACATGATAGAAATTCAAAATATAAATAGAAATTTGGCATTGAATCTTCCAATGCAAGTGCAGTCAAACGCCTTCAGCGTTCTAGGATAATCAGGTTTCATTCCACCGATTACAACTCCTAGCGTCGCGTTGGGAGCAATAATAAAGTGTTGTGCTAGTGGGGGAGGAAATGAGATAATTATTATAGGTATACAATATAACTGATTTTTTTATATTATATTATAGAACGCAACGCCACCACATCATACAGCATACATTTGAAGGGAAAAACGAAGATCAGCTTGAGAAACAGAAGTAAAGGAACTATGGATTCTAAGCGGAGAATGCAAATCGGCCCAATAACATGGATAATCCAAAGCAGCTTCTTCTCCTAACAGCAGGAACAAAAGTCTTGGCCTCCTTAGAATTTGAAATCTTTTTTCTTCGATTTCCCCTCTTTCTCCTGCATCTTGCGCTTCCTTTTCTTCTCATTCTGCGTCAAATTCATCTCATCATTACCAACCATAAACAAACAAGGAATCACCAACCAATTGTGTGCCTAAGATCGATCATATATATCCAAGCATAAAAGATCCATTACATGATTTACATCCAAAGTTTAAAAAATCCAAACTTGACCCAAATCAACCCTGATATTATTAGTATTTTAAGAAAGTTCTTCAGTTTCAGATAGTTCTTGGAAAGTAATGTTGAAAATATTCTGCTAATTTTAATAACAAAAACATCATATATCATTCTCAGGCATGCAAGCAATTGTTTTAAACGACCTAAAAAAATTTCAGGTAGGCCTAACTATCCGACGGAGTCAAACAGAAAGGCCTTTTAAGAGATCAGAGATGAAATATGACTGAGAGGGTTGCAAATAGTTTGTGCATTCAACCTTGATTTGATTGTAGCTAATTTTAAAAACAATATCATATTTAATGCAGGCCTTTATTCTTTCAATTTTAGCTTTTTGAGGCATTTAGAAGCCCACGCAATATTTCATCTAAAAGCATCGCTAAGGCTTACCTCAGCCACCATATCACTAAAGTCCTCACGCTGACTTCGTAGCTTCTCCTCCTCTCTAGCTTCTTCATACCTGTGAAATCAACTGATGTGAGTAAAGTATATTTAACTTCAGAACTAAATATACTTAGATGGTTAACGTTATAAGAGTCCGGCTTACTTTGCAGGCAACACATTGTCCATAGCTTCCAACTCTTCTGGCTGTAGACTGACTTCCACCCTGTCAGATTTTTGACCCTTGAGAAGATCAACCTGCAAAAAGAGAAAGAAAATTTATAATCACAGGTCAAATCATGACAAATAACCAATTTAGTCACAATGATTTCAACAACTTCAGGCTAAATACAATATCTGATTTAGGCATTTAATAGCATGCCAATTACCAAAGGGCTTGGGAGTTCAAAACCCCCTTACCAGTGCTAGCTTATCTCCAAGTCATGCCTCAATACTCCAGCAAATGTCAAGAAGAGTTGCACAAGAGAAAATATTACATAACAATGTTTGTAAATGGCCCAAAAGTTCCCAAACAAGATAAAATGTGACAAAGTAGCGAACTCAGGAAGGAAACAATTTCAACATCAAAAAATAATGTCATCTCTCTTACCCTTTTGGCTGCCGACTTGTCTTGGGTGCCAGTGTTAACCACATACCTGTATGTAAAAAACAAGTTTCACAACATCATTCAAAGATTTGAAGCTATATGAACCAAAATTTAAAAAAAAAAAAAAACAACAAAGCAGATTCTTACGTGTGTGTTGTACCAAGTAAAGTCCCAGGGGCAATCCTCTCTTCTTTTTCTTCAAGTACCTTCAAAGAAACAAGACAAACAAGAAGCATTGAGAAGAAAATATCATGAACATATACAGGTGATATGAATACAGAAGTAGGGGAGACTGCAAAGCTTCAAATATAATACTCACTTGGTAAAGAGGCCTCTCAGGTTCCTTTCTCTGCTGTTTACGAAGGTCAATGACA